TATATAATAAATAATAACTACACACACATACACACACATATATATATATATATATATATATATATATACATATATATATATATATATAATATTATCCAAACCTGTTCTCATCAAGGACCTTCCGTCCGCGTACTCGGCCTATCGCTTGCACCATTTGGTTCTTCTTGCGCACCTGTCCGGTACTGTGGCATCCCACGCCCAGCGTTTGTGCGGTTGCAGAGTGTCGTTTGGGAGAGTCCGATGAGTTACTGTTTGTGCATAACTGCGCCTCCGAGTTTGTTCCTGACTCGTGACTGCGTGTGGGTGTAATGAAACGGTTAGAGATTCGATTCTATTTTAATCCACACCCCTAGGCCGAATCTGGAAAACAACTCTTTCACGGCTGTCACAGTACGGTTATATCATTGCTGGGGTAGAGTAGCGTTCTTTGACTCACACGCTGTACAGTTTCCGTTTATAAATCTGTGTCTCATACTGTCTCCAGTAGCCACACCTCAGCATTGCCGGCACCATGTTTGCGCTGAAGAACGTATTGTCACTGTGAGCACTGCCCCGGCGCGAGAAAGTATCGAACAGCCGCGAGTTGGCCCCGTCTGTGTCAAATAGAAAGTTGTGATTGTCCACGTCGAGTGGACCTCCAAGGATGTCTGTGGGGCAGGGCCGGTAGTGGTGGGTGCGTATGTATGAGAGAGGGATGTGGCATGGACGCTAGCAGTTGTTATGTGTATGCTATACGCCCGCAAATGTCTCGGCTAGAAACACACAGTGTGTTGTGGGAGGGAGTGCTTGTGGTTTGTAGGGTGAGCACTATAATGTTGTGCTAGCCTGCGCAAAGGAAACACTGTTCTTGAAAGCTTGAATGTTTGACCAAACATAGTTATAGGAGTCCCGAATGATGCATGTACAAGTGTATGTGAATTGTATATGCGTGATGCCAAGAGATGATAAACACGCGTATTTTCGTACATGTATGCCTGGAATGTAGACGCAATCTTTACACGTGTGTTGCCGCACCAGTGTGTCAAGTTATAGTGCAAGTATAACCAGGTCAGTTATTAGTGCCTTTACATATATGCACATACAACCATATGTTTATATACATATATCTAAAAACACGTACACAAGCTTACATGCGCCCATACCTGTCTCCAGATGATCGGCCATCTTCACAGTCGCTTTCATCACCTTGTTCAGAGCGTCGTATCGGTCTCGAGTCTCGCACGCGTACATGGTCACAGCACTGTGTAGCCCCTCTGTAGCCTATAATTTGTGTGTGAGACATATCGTTGCTTAAAACGTTCAATATCTTGTATGCAAACATACGTATTTCATACTGTATGTCGTTGCTGCCTGGTGAAATCAAAGATAGAGCTGAGATTTCTAGGTATTTGTGTGCAAGTACAACCACTTCTCATTGAGAATCCGTTCTACTTTACGTGCGAGTCCCGTTTTTGGCCTTCGAAAGTGCTGCAAACGTGATAGATGCGCTAGTAGGTCAATTTAAAAGTCGTTTACATGGACTGCCCGTGGTGTGTGTATAACATATATTTGTGGCGCCTCGATGTGTGTATATGCCTTACCCATACCCCCCTTTCCCCCCTCCCACTCGCTCACTACTGGCTGCCTGTCACATGTAATGGCTATTCGTCTATTCACTATTCGTGCTGCTGGGACAAACACACATGTCGCTGGTGACTGATTGGCATAAAAGACTCAATAGGTACAGCTGTAACTGGGTACAATAGGCTAAGCACCATGCGACTGACTGAGGCGTTCGTGTAATCCGCAGGCAATGACCTGTTTCTCACATAATATGCCAACCGCGCACACTCACAGCATACGAGAGAGTTCGCCTATAGAATGTGTGTGAAATTGCCACAGATAGACACTCCTGGGGTTCGATATGACAATTGGGCCCTTGCACGTTGCCATACACGTGTTGTATTAAAGTATCACGCCACTCTGTACCAACACTCGTCCTGCCATCTCGAGCAGTGCTTTGAAGGTAACGATGCCGATCGCAGACATTCACACTATGCGTGAGAGTTGACACTGTGCATGGATGCGAGATTGTCGCAAGCACACATACTCTCACAGTACTCCTACACCAAAACATGATGATTTTAAACAAATCAGCGTCAATGTTCAATAAGATTTGTCTGCACTAACCTCCGAGCGTATAGGTCCTGCGATTTTTTCGTAGTGGATCAGTCTTAGCAACTCATACTAAACAAAAGTGCTCGTGCTTTATATAGATGTATATATCCATAAAACCATGCGTTAATTGCATATATGGATATATACCCCTTATTGTGACACTAGTATACATACATACACATACACACACACAC